TGCTGCAGATGTTGATGTAGCTGTGTGGAAATGTGCAGCGAGACTGACGGTGCTGATCAGAGCGATGATGTCACAGTGTGTGTGAAGAGCTGACCACGATTTGAGGACCATTGCCTGCGTTTGTAAATGGCGTCTGGATTTGTGATGCTTGAGGAAACTCGTGATGTTTCATATTAATAATGATCACATTACTCAAACAGAAAAACCTGTAAAACCTGATCACAGAGTTAAATAAAACTGGCTTCAGACTGAGCCTGAATAAAAACAGTCCAGCCTGAAAGGAGCTTGTTTGAGGTTTATTAGTCGTTTTCCTGCCGCGTGTGTTTAAATAAATGACACAACTGTAGCTTTCATAATGTTGAGCTGCTCTGTGTTTAGTGTTAAACATTCCTACGTGTTTGCAGGTTCCACCATTTGAAATAATAGTTTCATAAATATGTTTTTAGATATTTTTTTTAATCATTTTCATCGCTTCATATTTCCTCTCTTATTCAGGACTGATTACATCATTTCTGAGCATTTAACCAGTGCAGGCAGCAGATAAATATCAGCCACAGACGTCAGCGGATGTTATCGCTGGCATTTCTAATAACTGACGAGCATTAAAGTTTGTGAAATATGAAAGGGGGACAAATGTGTGGGGGTTTCCATGGTTTAAAATTCGTGTCAGCAGAAAGAATAACAAACGCGGTCGTAGTGACGACTGATTTGTTGTTTGCTATATTTCACACAAGGAGAGAGAAGAAAAAGTGAAACGATGTTTTTGTTGCTCTTTAATGCCGTCCTGTTGTCCCTGTGAAGAACTTGCTGCCAGCTTTGCTTCAGTATCTCCGGGTTTGATCTGAGAAGCGTCGCCTCTGTGCTATGAGATTAAAGGCTGAGATGGAAGTGAAATCAAAACCGCAGCAGATCAAATTTACAGCAGGAATGTCAAACAAACTTGAAGTAAAACCGTCCGCTGGTCCTCGGAGTCGCGCTCTGGTTTCATCAGTCTCACTTCACTGAGACGACACACAAAGATGATTCGCTGCTGCTTTGGTTTAAACATGTGTGATGCTTCAGTGCAGTCAGCAAAGGCAGAAGTTGGGCAACGCTTCATTTGTTTCTCTTTGCATGAGCATCCCCATACTGACGTCTCACTCAACCACAGAAGAAACAAACCAAGCTGATCTGAGACAGGACGTCACAGAGACCCAACAATCGATCCCCCGATTCCTGCGCTACACACTCCAACAAAGTCTTATCGTCATTAATGTCGCTCTTATAGTTTTTTATTTAATGTTGAGGAGTTTACGCGTAAGCAGGGGGAAAGGTGTGTATATTAGGGACTAGTTTTAGTGGCGGATTAATCCGTGTTTGTTTCTAAACCTGCAAACGAAGCTGTAGTGTTATGTTTCACTATTTTCCTGAATCAAAAAGGGAACAAGATACAGACAGAGTTAGGTTTACTCATTAGTGAGGCCAGGATTGTACTCAGTTAAATGTACTTCCGAGGGTGGTTTCGTTTTTTTATTTGAATAAATTGTTCAGTAAAATCAGGAATTCGTTCACACACAAGCGTCTCCAAAGATGGAATAAATGCACTGATGTTTATATAGCGTGCGTTTCAACTTCATTTAAGCACTCGAGGCTCGTACTTACTACAAGATTCAGTCACTTATTCATACAGACATACAAACACTTTTCTGTTTTATTCTAACATTCACACACTCACACTCGGGTGGATGACTGAGACAGCTCTGGGTTCAGAAAATTGACCATGGAGGATTTGACATGTAGGTTGGAGGAGCTGCTCCACCACCTGAGCCACACCTGTTCGGCTGATGTCCATTGATGTTCACTAGTTCACTCATTTGCTATTGTGAACGGTGCTGTTGGAGCTACCACACAGTTAGTCCTTATATATTTTGTAGGTGGGTGGTGAAGGGGCCTAAAATGCTCTGGTTGAAGCTGGAGTCTGATTGGAGGACAGGGTGGAGGTAGAGCAGATCGTCCACTAGTTGAAAGGTTGGTGGTTTGATCCCTGGCTACTCCAGCGTGTGTGCCAAAGTGTCCTTGGGCAAAATACCAAAGCATTAGTTGCTCTGTGTGTTTATCGAAGTGTTAATGTGAGGTTAAAAGTGCTTAGAGAAAAGCACCTGTGTGAAAGAGACTGGTACTCTGGATTAAGAGCACTGTGAAACACATACTCAGAGAAACTGAACATTTTTCAGCAGACACTCTTCTTAAGCCTCAGAACGAACTAAAATGTGCTTGCTGTGGATTCATGTGAACTCTGAGCTGAACCAAAGGTTGTTTTTTCAGAAGAGATGTCCACGCTGTAGCATCACGGTGCAGTCGTGTTGGGTTAATCAGTGAGACGACTCCTCTACCAGAGGATCACACACTTTTCATCCACGTCAGATAATTTTCTCTATAAAACAGTGAAGCGATGGAAACATTAAGTGCTCAGGACTTCCCCGAGTCGCCGCTCAGTGAGCTTATGTTGGAATGTCAGTCATGTGATTATTACAGACCGCCGAGGATGAAATTATAGAGCAGCCGCACACACGTGCTAACACATCAACACCAGCAGATCTGACCAATCGCAAACAGGCTGATGATCATCCCACTCTGATAGATGATTGACTGTCAGATCAATAACCTGCTCACTGTTTAACAGACCTCACGCACACACACACACACACACACACACACACACACACACACTGACTGTAACAGTATCTGATGAGGTTCCTTCCCACGAGAACCCGACTGGAGTGTAAAAATGCCCGAGGCGAGGGAGATCGGCATACACTGGCACACAAAGAGACATAAAGGTTTGGGAAAAAGAGGAACAATAAAAAGGAAAAAAGTAGGAAAACGGGTGAAAAAGAGCCTCGTGGAGACGAGGAAGAACAGGAATGTCAAGAGAGGGGAAAGAATGAAGGGAGGAGCTTAGGAGACGCTAATGAAAGGGGGAGAGAGGAGGAAACATTGTTTGAATGCTTCGGATGAGTTAGAGGTAAGAAAGACGAATAAAAGCACGAGAGAAGCTGGGAAACAAAAGCATAACGAGAAAGGGAAGAGGAGAAAAGCTGAAAGATGAATAGAGGAAGTAAGAAAGTGCATTAACAAGAAAAGGAGGAAGAAAAGGAAAGATGGAGATGAATGGGAGAAGATAAGAAAGGCAGAAACCGTAAAACAGAAAAGAGAAGAAAGAAAAGAAAAGGCAGTTTAGAGAGTCGAGGAAAACTTAAGGACGAGGGGAAAAATAAGCGGTGAGGACTTTATGAAAACTGTATGGAAGAGGACAGAGAAGAGAAGAAGAGGAAAGGAAAATGTGTGAAGGAAAAAAGGATGACGGGGGAATGGAAAACTGAGGACTGGAAAAAGAAGAGGAGGGAAAGAAAAGAGCGGGAATGAGGAAAAACCCGGCTCGTAAAATGAAGGGAGGAGTGCTGGGAAAGAGGAGGAAAAGTGGTCTGAGCAGCCTGGAGGTCCATGGAAAAAATAGATATTAAAACCACAATAAAAACAGAAGAAACACGACTAAAGGATCAGCAGAAAGACACTAAAATTGACAAAAGTAGTGAAGAAACCCTCTGTGCTGTGTGATTTGGATTTTGTGCTGTATGTTTATGACGATTTTTTAAACCGTGCTTTCTCATTGGCTGTCCTCAGGTGGTGGGCGGAGCTGAAAAATGGCGGGTGCATCAGTGAAGGTGGCGGTGCGAGTCCGCCCGTTCAACTCCAGAGAGATAGGACGCAACGCAAAGTGTGTGATCCAGATGCAGGGAAACACCACCTGTAAGAATGACACACACACACACACGTTCTGTCCTTTAGGATTTATGGGGCCCCTCGTTGAGACACTAACCTGAAGACGTCCTCACAGGATCTGAAACATACAGACGTCCTCAAAAAGATAAAGAAAGAAGAACAAATAAATTAGAAACCATAGAAATATATTACAAAGGTTTTTAGATAACGAGAGGCCTGTCACTGTCCTCATAATAAGACACAGCATGATGAGGACACACCACTGGCTAAGAGAACAGAGTTTTTATGATCACCATCTCATTATGATGTAATGAGGATTTTTATTGTGACCTTGAATCATAAACTGTGTATAACATGGATATAGCCTCTACACATATTAAAGCCTCAGGTGTAGCATTGAGACAGCGCCCATGTTGGTGTTTTGGAGGTTAATCTTCTGTCACGAGCGTTAATGAAGTTAAAACTGACCTTCAATTTAAATGCTGTGAACCTGCTCGTCGCAGAATTAGCCATGAAAGTAGCTGTGACATCACTTTAATGTGACTAAAGAATAAAAAAGTCCCTGAACTGGAATAGAAATAGCAGCATTTAGCTTGAAGCTAACAGTCACTATTGATTTTAATAAATAATGCTGATGCTCTCCTTACCTAACCCTTCTGTGGGTTAGGGGCTTTTATGGCCTCAACGTTCCCATGGGAACGTCATGTGACGTCTGATCCTATTGCTGCATAAACTGACAGACACACACAGCCTGTTTATTAATAGACTTTGCTGCAGCAGGGCTGTTATTAGCAGCTGTGTGTCCATCTGACAAATACTTATATGCAGAGCCCGTCATATATTCTGTGAATGCTGGGAGTGGTCACATGCAGATATCCCCACTTCAGTAGTGACACTTTGTTGCCTCCACATTTGAAAGTGAGGAGAAAAGAAATAAAACTGGAGTGTGTCCACAGACTTCTCGTCAT